ATCCGTTGGCAGGAGCAAGAAAAAGAAAAAAAATTTTAAACTGCCGGTACCGGTACCGGCGGTTCCGGTGACGAAATTTGGAAATCGGACACGGTACCGGTTGAGACGGTACCAGTACTGGTTCCTGGAATCGGTTGGTCGTCTCCGGTGACGGTGACGGTACTCGGTACCGCCGGTACCGGTGCCGGTGACGGTACCGCACCGGTACCGTGTCCAGACCTAGTTGGAGGCATAGTTTTCAGAATCGATCCAGTGCATTAATTCACTAGTTTATTTGTTGAACTAGTGACTCAAACATATTTTAATACACACACAAACACCTACACGATGTGGTATTAAATTAAAAAAATTAATATATGAGTAAACAAAATAATATTTCCTCCATTTATAAATAAACAATTTATGATGCTTGACAAAAGTTATAATCAATTTAATTTACTTGAGTTGTGTCATTAAATAAAAATAAAATTTACATATTTAAAATCAGTGATTTTTTAATTTTAGCTAATTATACTTTTCAAAGCTATTTGACAAAGAATTTTGTAACTGTAGAGTACTCCCTCCGTCTCACTGTATTTATCCACTTTTCGTTTTTTGGATGTCCCACTGTATTTGTCCACTTACTATTTTTGGAGGATCAAATGTCTTTTTTGCCCCTCCTTTTTTAATGTAACCCACGTCCACCCACGTCCACCTGTCCACTGTACCGTTTCTAGATCTATTCGCTTAGATCTACTCCCAATCTCTCTCTCATCCTCTTCGTATTCCAACTGTTTCTAGATCTATTCGCTTAGATCTACTCCCAATCTCTCTCATCCTCTTCATATTCCAACCATGGAACCCTCATACACTGAGTTGGAATTGTGTTCCATTGTCCTTGAAACTCCAATTCCAACCATGGAATCCTCATTCTCTGAGTTTGAATTGTGTTCTTTCATCCATGAAACTCTAGAATCGGTCGGAGTGAAGGCGACGGTCAGAAGATCAGACTAGTCGCCCTCCGTGCATGCATTTGTGGATGGTGAGCCACACTACCCTCCTGTGGTTGTGCCTTATGTCCCTTCCCATTATGATCCATTCATTGAAGACGCCAACCTTGAATTTGACCCAAGGTTCAATGTGTCGGACTGGTACCATGATTCGTCTATGAAGGCACTTCTGAAGATCTTGCTTCCATTGATGTTTGAGCAAGGGGGGAGTGGTTCAACATATGAGCATGCCGGGGTGAAGGTGACAGCCAAAGATTCCGACCAAACGCCCTCAATAGATGGAGAGGAAGGGTGATTGTGGGCTCTTCCATTCTTGAAAACAATGAAAAGGAAAAAAAGTTGGGTGATGAATGGAAGAAAACCACCAGAAAAGATAGTTGTAAAAAGAAGAAGAAAAACATGAATGGAATCAGGAACGAGAAAGGTTAAAAAGGAAAGGGAATAACAGACTTCTCGAGGGTTATATGCTAAACTTAGGTTAAAATTATAGAGGGAATTTTTTCTTTGCTTTGGAGCAAATTTATTATAATCATTGAGTCTACTTAATGCCCATACGAATTGTAGGGGTGAATAGTGTATTGTACATGAAATTATATTTAATGTTCAACTTTGAAATGTTTGCTTTTTTTAATGATTGGAGTATGGATGTATGTAGTGGGATGAGGGCATTTGAGTCCTTTCACAGCCCCTCCCCCAAATTCTTGGTTCTTGGTTCAAAAGAATAAGGACAAAGAGAGTGAGACGGAGAGAGTATACATTAAAATTAGCAAAAAGACACCAAGCATTATTGTAGAGATGATTTGTAGCGCACAACGCAATCTCATGAGGTCTTAGGTTTGATTCAAGGGCTTAAGTTTTTTTAAAAAAATAAAAAAAATGGTTTCAGCGGTGAAACCGGCCGGTTTTCTCGGATTTTACCGGTTTCTATCGGTTTAGTATTCAAGATGGTATGATTGACTGGATATGACTGCTTTAGTCTCCGGTTCACCAGTTCCAAATCTGAATCGGATGGTCCGATTTTTAAAACTATGGTTGGGGGTGCTAGAAAACCCGACTTAGAATTCAATGTGCGTGAACAAACATTAGTTTATTTTCGCCTTGGTGTACATTGGTGTAGGCCAAAGTGGGGTTCCCCAAACCTTTTCCAAAGGAGTTCATATACGGTACACCAATTGTGCTCAACTGAATTCTTATTTTCTTATTTTACACACACACAGATATATATATATATATATATATATATATATATAATTTTAGTCTTATGCTCGCTAATTGTTCATTTTCGCAAAATAGAACATTCATTTTTCACATATTTGAAAATGTACATATATACACTTGAAAACACCATTATGTTTGCTATAATTATATAAAATGTTAATTTTCGAGTAAAATAATGTTCATTTAGAAACCATTCAATGCCCTACAAGCCACCGCTATGCTCCGTGTTGTTGCTGAAATTGTCCTTAGCTATGAAAATCCGAGCTTCAATTGTAAGAATCCATGGTGGCCACTGTTATACCAGTGTCGCGAATCCTAGTGTTTCGACCCAAGCCGGCGACTTCCTCGGTCTGTATCTCAGCTCTTTTCCTCTCTTTTCCATTTGATCTCGATCTGTACCACCTTGTTGTCACCGCTCGTTGGTTGATCCACATCCGATCATACGGGGAGATAGGTATAGCTGGCTCTACCATATAACTTGTAAAGAAAAAGTAATTACTTCGTAATAATTTACTATTTCATCCATTTGAAATTAAAAAAATTCACAAAAAAAAGAAAATGGTTTCGGCGGTGAAACTGGCCGGTTTTCTCCGGTTTTACCGGTTTCCATCGGTTCAGTACTGAACACAGTATGATTGACATGAAAAGACGGGTTCAGTGTCTAGTTCACCGGTTCTTAATCAGAACCAATCGGTTTGGTTTTTAAAACTATGGTTGGGGGTGCTAGAAAACCCTCTTGGGATTCAATGTGCACGCACATACATTAGCTTATTTTTGCCTTGGTGTAAATTGGTGTATCCTAAAGTGGCCCCCCCCAAAGATTTTCCAATGGAGTTCTTATACGATACATCAATTGTGCTCAACTTGTTAAAACTGATTTTTGAGTAACTAAATTTTTATTTTATATATATATATATATAAAATTTTATTTTAGCCTTATATTTGTCAATTGCTCATTTTCGCAAAATAGAACATTCATTTTTC